CTGGCCTTTAATCTTGAGCTTGCATTCTGATTGGTTGTCAGACTCCCATGCAGGGTCAACCTGTTTTTTGAGTCCAAATTTGGTTGAGTTCCCAGATGTCATATGGTGAGTTTCTGCAGAAAACTAGTCCTATCTTTGTTATGTAGTGTAAACTAGCTCAGGGTCCTTAATGGCCCATTGAGAAAGGTGGGGGCCATTAAGAGTGTGTCTGTTTCCTGCCTAAAAACATGATTCTCTATTTCTGATCCAGGGAAATATAATATTCTGCCTTTTCAATATTTTCCAGGATATTTCGTTTTTCTAGGAGGGGGATGGGGTGGGTGCTAACTTCCTACAATAGTATGGTATGGTGTGTTATTCTATATTATATTATTGTATATTGTAGTATATTGTATAGTTAATATAGTATTGTATATTATATTACTGTATATTATTATATATTGTATATTGTGTAGTATAGTAGTACATTATATTGTGTTGAATTATATTGTATTATATTGAGTATAGTATAGTGTATTATAGTATTAACAACTTGACAACCATGGCATATAAAATGAGGGAAAACTCTCTAACCAACTGTCTCATTTAGCAGCATAAATTTTGGGCTCAAATGTGGTCATAAGTTGAGGACTACCGATTGTACCCTGTATTGTCAGAATTCTGCCAGTGGATAGTCAGATGATTTACATGATGAATGTAAATCAACCAGGAAAGCTGATTTGTTATTGCAAAAGTAGCCAATGAGTAATCATTCTGCATTTCCACAGATCTGATTTTTGGACTGACGTTAATTGATGGATGGATGGATGGATGGATGATTGATTAATCTGTCATCCAGTCATTTTTGAGTCCTAGCAACCACATAGATAAAGACTTTCTCCAAGACACAAGCTACTTTTAGCCCTTCTAGTGTCTCTGACCTCAGCAATTAGAGATGAGTGGACTTCAAGTCCCAGCATACAATTCCCACCACAAGGACCATCACCGGATGCTTTATCGGCCAAGGATAATGGGAACTTGCTTCCTAAGACAATTCCATGAAATTTAAGAAAGAGAAATCTGCCCCTGCAATACAATACTCGGCCACAGGGGGCAGTATAATACAGCTGCTGACTTCATCCCATATTGTGTAGATCAGTGTTTGTCAACCTTGGCAACTTGAAGATGTCTGGACTTCAACTCCCAGAATTCCCCAGCCAGATATGCTGACTGAGGAATTCTGGGAGATGGTCCATTACATGCCAGCTGGGAACTGAAGCCCGCTCATCTTAAAGTAGCCAATGTTGAGAAATAACCGCTGTAGATTCTTCACTCCTATTCCAGCTTTCCCCATGCTGCATTCTATTCTATTCTATTCCTTATTCTGTTCCTTATTCTATTCTATTCTATTCTATTCTACTCTATTCTAGTCTGCATTCTATTCTATTCCTTATTCTATTCCTCATTCTATTCTAACCTATCCTATTCTATTCCTTTCTATTATATTCTTTTCTATTATATTCTATTCTGCTATTCTAGTCTATTCCTTATTCTGTTCCTCATTCTATTCTATTCTATTCCTATCTATTCTATTCTGCACTGTATTCTATATTATTCCTATTCTATTCTGCATTCTATTTTATTCTACTCCTATTCTATTCTATCCCTATTCTATTCTATTCTGCATTCTATTCTATTCCTCATTCTGTTCCTCATTCTATTCTAACCTATCCTATTCTAACCTATCCTATTCTATTCCTTTCTATTATATTCTTTTCTATTCTATTCTATTCTATTCCTATTCTATTTTATTCCTTATTCTGTTCCTCATTCTATTCTATTCTATCCCTATTCTATTCTATTCTGCATTCTATTCTATATTATTCCTATTATATTCTGCATTCTATTTTATTCTATTCTATTCCTATTCTATCCTGCATTCTATTCTGTTCTGTTCTGTTCTGTTCTGTTCTGTTCTATTACTATTCTATTCTATTCTATTCTTAAAAATAGCCAGTAATGGAGCACCCACAACTTCTGCAATGAAGCCCTTCTGCTGATTAATAATTCTCTGTCAGGAAATTTCTCTCAGCTTGTGTTTGTTTTATGCTCTTTATGAAACCTTCAATTGAAAATGCAGCTGGCCAAGTGAGGGGAGTTGACGCCTTGACATTCAAACCCCGAGGAGTCCTTTGGAGCCACTGTCTTGCGCATGGCGGGGAATCCCACCTCGATTTATCTGGAATGCAAAATTGACCCTCGCAATTTGGGTTGGAATGGCTGCACGAGAGGGGGAAGATAAGGCCACTCCTGTCACTAAGTGAGGCGGTTGTTAAATGAGTTGAGCCTGATTTTACGTCCTTTTCTCCTGTGGTCGTTAAAGCCAATCCCGGCAGCCGTTGAGCGAATGATGCTGCCATTAAGCAAATCTGGTTTTCCCCATTGACTTGGTTGGAAACTTGTTTTGTTCTATTCTGAATTCTATTCTGTTCTATTTTGAATTCTATTCTATTTTGAATTCTATTCTATTCTGAATTCTATTCTAATCTGAATTTTATTCTATTTTATTTTGAATTCTATTCTATTCAGAATTCTATTCTGAATTCTATTCTATTATTCTATTCTATTCTGAATTCTATTCTGTTCTATTCTGAATTCTATTCTATTCTGAATTTTATTCTATTCTGAATTTTATTCTATTCTGAATTCTATTCTATTTTGAATTGTATTCTAATCAGAATTTTATTCTATTCTATTCTGAATTGTATTCTATTCTGAATTCTATTCTATTCTGAACTCTATTTTTACTATTCTGAATTCTCTTCTGAATTCTATTCTATTCTGAATTCTATTCTATTCTATTCTGAATTCTAATCTGAATTTTATTCTATTCTGAATTCTATTATATTCTGAATTCTATTCTATTTTGAATTGTATTCTAATCAGAATTTTATTCTATTCTATTCTGAATTGTATTCTATTCTGAATTCTATTCTATTCTGAACTCTATTTTTACTATTCTGAATTCTCTTCTGAATTCTATTCTATTCTGAATTCTATTCTATTCTATTCTGAATTCTAATCTGAATTTTATTCTATTCTGAATTCTATTATATTCTGAATTCTATTCTATTTTGAATTGTATTCTAATCAGAATTTTATTGGTCATAAATTGAAGTTTGGTATTTCAACCGAGGATAAAAAGGAGCCATCTGCACTGGAAATGCTTGATAGTCTCCCGTGCCAGTCATCTGCTCTAGATAAGTAATTGGAGAACTTCTTCCTCAAGTGAATTGACTCCCCACCCAAGTTTTCTTCCTTTAAACGGAGTGGAGAATTTCTCCATGCCGTTCGAGAGCAGCTTGAATCGCCTTTGGAATCAGGGTCAAAACGTTTGGTCTATTGATGAAAGCGCCAAGTTAAAAACCAGGAAACGGTGAGTTCTAATCGCACCTTAGACATG